CGTGCAAAGCTAACTCCTGGTTCATCTAAGAGATCTTCAGAATTTTTTTGAACAGGAAAGCTGGTCCCCCATGCAACTAAATAAGAATGCAACAACTCCTGTTCTCTGTCAATCCAACAACAGGCCAATACAGCTTGAGCAATCTTTTTATCAAAGAACAAATAAATTTTCTCTACTGCCATCAAAATGACCTTTACTTTTCAGTATTTCGAATTCTCCCTGGAGCCCTTCTTGAATATATAGTAATGTGCTTTGAAGGTGATTACACTACAATTTGTCCCTCCTCTGTTATACAGTATTCTAACTACCCAGGCTAAACATCTCTGCTGTGAAGACAAAATAGATTGAGACATCAAACACATTTATAAAATACAAATTCACTAGATTGTATACAAGAGTACAAAAAAAAAAAAAAAAAAAAAAGGCTATTTGAAACGGGCGAAAATACCAAACACAAAATGAATGAATGAGCCAACATGTAGGTATGAGATAGAGAAATAACATTCCAGCTTTGCTCATCAGAAGTATTTCCAAACTTTTAATGAAGTTGTTCACAAAACAAAGATTACTACTTTTATGCTCTCTTGACAGGTTTTATTGAACTCATTAATACAAGTACTGAAGAGATGGGTGTTCTCAAACAAGCATGCAGAAACCATAACAAACTAAAGACACTTGCAACAGTCAGAAAGAAAAAAACAACAAGATAATGTGTGTGGCATTTGGGAAAAAAGTGATGTTGTGGAAATTTTATGAGCCTCATAAGGGAAAAAAATCTATCAAACAAAGGTCAGGAAAAAAAAAACTTATGAGGAAATTTCAGGTCCAGTGAAAGACAATAATGATGAATGAAAGATGTGATCTAGTGGTGAAGGATGAATGAGGAATGTGGAACAAAGAAGCAGAAAAATAAAGCCAGAGAGTCTTAATATGAATGTTAAACTTGTCCTGAACAAGGAAGGAAAAGTGCCAAGCCAGCAGACAAATCCCCAAACAGACGGAAGACTATGGTAAGTGGTAGTTTGAATGAAAAATGAAGAAAACAACCAGATGGAATATACCCACAGGGATGCAGTAAGAATGGAAAAGGAGGGAAGAAGGGAAAGAATAGAACGTGCAGGAAAATGAAATCTGTCACCCTATTTCTCTGTTCACTATTTGAGGCTTTCTGTTGTCACATCCAGTCACCTGTTTATCATAAAGTCTTCAGGGAATCTGACATATTTTAGACAGTATTCCTCCTACATTACAGACTATTTAACAAATAATTAAAATGAACAGTTGCCTTATGCTTTCTGGAAGACACACCTCTAGTTTATACTATCAGAGGAAATAAATGAATAGTCTTGTGTTTCAGCTTCACTTCATAAAGTATTATTCTCATCTACAAAAGTATTGTATGACTTGACAAAGCTAGCCAATGTAATGCCTATAAAGATAAAGTTTAATATGGCAGTGAGATTGCTTTAGAACTAGTCACAGAAGAGCACTGTGTTCCTTATTTAAAGTATGTTGTCTTTATAAAATGAAAACTACACTCTAGTGCTGACTGATTTGGGAACAAACATTACCCTCACATCATCAAAACCTTACCAGCTATTCCAGCTCATTTGCTAGCTACTGATAGGGCAAAAGGAAAGTTATTACATTACCATGTTATAAGGTGACAGCAGAAAGTGACATAACTGTGTCATTATGGGTGTAGGTGTTCACAAAAACCCTATGTAAGTCTGCCAGTCCCAATTTAATAGACCTGAGCTTTTTTCTCTGCCAGGTTTTACACTGCTCTGTTTCTTGACCTTTATGCCCCTAATACGCTTTTCAATATTATCTTGAATCTCCACAAACTGCTTTGTGACCTATTTCCATTTTATTTTCTTGTCCCTTCTTGTCCCTTCTTGTCCCTACTTTACTTCTGCTTTTGCTACAATTAATGCTGATAAAACACTAACTTGAAATTTTAAATTAGACAGCTCCATTCTGGGTAGAATGCATGCTGTTATTCTAGAGTCATCCTTCACTCTCTTCTCTCAGCCTTTATCTTCTTTTTGCTCTCTCCTCCTCTCTTCTTTTCCTTCTTTCTTTCATTTCTTTCATACAACATCTTTATGTACAACTGTGTACAACTTGAGCTGAGCAGTCAAGAACAATTAATAGCTGGGATATCCTTGGAGGCTAAAATGTAGTAATATTTGAAGTCACTGGCACTCTGCAGAGGAAAATGTTATCTATGTTTTTTAAAGACACTTTAATTGCCCAGCATCATGCAGAACTGAGAAATATAGCTCTGCTTCCAAGATAATAACTCCTCAAATTGCAGAGGTTGCTTACCCAATACCCTTGCTATCTAGAAAAACATGAGAATGACACCAAGACTCAAAACTTCAACTTTATGTTACTCTATTATTTGTAATAGCATTCATGTATTTTTACAATATTTCACATAACCTGATGTGTGCTATTGTCATTTAAAGCATAGAGACTTCACCTAGCTTTGTTGCTAAAAGAAATAAGTTGCTCATACAGAGTCCATTTATACAGCCCTAATTCAGCTAAAACTAAAATGAATAATGAACAGGGATTGTGTATTAGTAAACAGATGAGGAGGTTTAGCACAGAGCAAAGGCAGCAGTACTAATTGCATTCAGCTTTCACTGACCCTTGTTTCTTTTCTATGTAATTTTCCACTCTTTTTTGTAATTATTCCATCGAGTGAAAAGACTTCAAAGCTTTAATTATGTTAATTCTATTTAAATTATTCATATATATTTAATATTTAAATATAATCTGTATGTAGTTATCCTGATGTTACTAATGAGATGTCATCTAGCTAATGCATTCATTAAAGATTTCCCAGAAATTTGTGATGTCTGTCATATCTGAACTTATAATCATATCTGAACTTCCAAATGTGAGACTTTGGCTCTCTGCACAACCTGATCAATCTTTCTCTGTGCGAATCATCTTGAAAAAGGAGTCAAGCATGCATGTATTCTTTTTAACCCTTTTTCTTCCCCTCATGACCTAAATATTGTATGGCTGTGTACTTGAAAATAGGTTCTTAGGCTCCTTTCAAAAAGACTTTAAATCTCATCAGCACTTTGAAGATTTTACTCAGAATAATCCCTCAAAAACTGATAAGATAACAATCAAATCATACCAATTCCAAACAGATACCATATCCCCATCATAATCAATAGCAAACTGGTCATAAACCTGAAAACACAAATATGTTCAGTACCATGGACAAGTACAGCCCAAACTGCCCAGAACTGAGACAACTCCCTCAAACACCACCTTTGATTACAGAAACACATAGACTGGACCCTGCTCTTTCATAATAAGATTATACATTCTAAATACTGCTAAATTCTGAAGACCCAATTAGTCGAGATCATCATAGTTCTTAATAAAATATATATGGCAAAAAGTAACAAAATCAGAATATACGGGACTGTGAAACTAGCTAGCATATATAACTTGTTCCTTCTGCTAACTTGTCCCTTCCATTTGCCACTACCAGAAAAAAAACAAAACCCCCAAAATAACAGGAAAGCAGATTAAAATCTTCAAAGCTCTTGTCACTTCTTTTTAGCATAACTTGCCCTTACAAGTAATATGAAATATTTACAATGCACTATATTTACCTTCATCTGTAATATCACCCAGAAGATAAAAGCCCTGTATAAAAAATGGTGGCAAAAGACAGTCCCTTTATCTTTTTCAATATTCTGTGTGTGCATTTCTCAACTAAATTACAATTGCACATAATCAATTTTTTCATAATAGTTTAATAATGCACTTTTCATTTTGTTAATTTTAAAAGTTATACATGTGTCATAAATCTCAACAATCTCAACAAGATCTGGAAAAATGTTTGACTAATAAAATTATTTGCTTTGATTCATGAAAGTGAAAAGTTTGTCTTTTAATAGTTGTAATTATTAAGTAACTGGATAGTTTTCAAGGCATTGAAAAATTTTCAGTTTCATAAATGATACTCTACAGCTCAAAATTAAGAATAGAGGAAAAAGCTGTCTCCTCCAATTAGCTGACCTTCTAAATCCCTGTTATAATTAAAGACAAATGAATTTTACAGCTTGGTGCATAAAATCAACTGGTAAAATATGACTCTAGTATCAAAGACTTTATTAATTAATACCATCTCCCATCTTTGCACTAAACTGCATTGGAATCTCATGTCAACAATTGCATTTTTTAACTCCAGATTCTCTGGAAGAATTTATATTGCTAAAAAAATACGTTTTAAGACATATGCTTCATCTGTCATGTCTCACACTTCCTCAGATCATTTTCCAGTGCCTGTCATCAGTCAGTGTAGCTTGACACAAGTTACATGTCTATGAAAATCAAAGGAAATTTATCCAGTGTCTTAAATAACATCAGGAATAATTTTTTGTAAACATTAAGGTTGCTATACCTGTTTTATTTTCATAAAACCAAATAACTTTGTAATTTCATATCCAAGTCTACATCAATACATCACTTTAAAGAAAATGGCAGATCCACATACTTCTATGCATGATCAAATTAAAAGATCACACTTGACTTCTCCTTATAATTATCAACACTTTAGCAACACTGTAACAAGTACCGTCAGCAAACACATTACTCTATTAACCATCCACTGATGACTCACAGATATTAATAAAATACTCCATTTTCACTTCTAAACCAAATAAAATGTTAGGGAAAATTTGAAAGAACACAAAGAATTTCAAGATTTTTGTTTGGTTTGTTGATTGCTTTTTCAGTCTATCTGTAGTTTTAGGTTTGGGTTATTTTAACTTCAGCAACACTTTTAACTCACATGTACACGTAAAACATTCAGAAAGAAGTGATGAGTCGTATTCATGAAGTTCTGTAACAAAAACTTATCCTCACTTTTTTTCTAGCAATGCTTTTTTTTGAACTGAGTATTTTCCATTCGTGACAATACACTTGTTGAAATGTTGGCTGTAACCAAACACCAGCTGCACTTACCCCAGTGTTGTCATGGTGACAATGGTGTACCAGAAGGCTGCAGGGATGCTGGTGAACTTGCTGGCTGATGAACCTTTCTCTGCATAGTACATGACTGTGGCAAAGATGATGATGGCCATAGTGAGTGAAAAGAGGAGAAAGCCTAACTCTGAAGCACAACTTTTCAGCGTGTAGCCCAGAATGCGCAGCCCCTGTGAGTGGCGTGAAAACTTAAAGATCCTGAAGACACGGAAGACCCTCAGTGTCACAAAAGCTCCACTGACATCCTCGTTATCTGTCATCACCAGGCCAATATAATACGGCATGATGGCAACCACATCGATGATACTCATGACACTACGCACAAATTTGTAGCGACTAGGGGCCGCCAGCAGACGTAGGAGATACTCAACTGTGAAGATCATGACACAGGCAGTATCCAGACAGAAGAAAGCCACAGCATAGCGCTCTCCACAGGGCAGCTCTTTGATGCGACCTGGGCTTACCCCACAGGGCACTGTCTCCACCACGTTGGCAATAACAGAGACAGCAATGAAGAAGCCAGTGACATAGTAGAAGACCAGAGCCAGCGTACTGGTATGTGGGTTTTCAAAGGCCCGCCACATCCTCTGCCGAGCTGTCATTGAGGGCAGGGAGCTTTCAGCTGCATGATCCTGATCAGCATCATCCTGCAGGCGCTCAGCATTCTCACGCCGGCGATCCTTATACTCCTCATAACAGCAGTCACCAATGATCTCAGGAATGATGCCAAAGAAGGCCAGTTCCTCATCGTAAGCTGAGATGCACTCCTGGCGGGGATAATGAAGCTTCCCGGTACGGTAAAAGTTGAGAATGTAGCGGAAAATGTCAGGGTCCCGATCAAAAAAGTACTGCTGTGTCTCAGGGTGGTAGAAGAAGTCCCGCTCCGAACTGCCCAACAGAGTGTCAGGATAGCGCTCTAAGGTATCCAGCCACGTCTGGAACTGGATGCCACTTACATTCAGCACAATCAGAGAGTCCTGGCTTCGCTTCCTTTCCTGCCGAGGAGC